TGCATGGGATGGAGGAGAGTGCATCTGAAATAGCCTCACGTGACATTCTAGACAGCACACCATGGGGCTTGTTTCCGAGTTTTGACACTTCCTTTTTTCTTTTTACTTTTTGGCCCAGTACCTCACCTCAGCCATCCCCACCACCCTCACTTCTGGTTCCAGATCCTGTCTTGGGTTCCCCAGGGCAACCATTTTCTTATTTGAACAGTCTATGGGAAATATAAACAGTGTGGCCTGATCAGATATTTTATCTTTTTTTTCTCTTACTTCACTAGAAGGCCAGAGTTAAGGCAGACGCTCCATGTGTTACAAACGATGTCTTCCATTTTCGATGCAGAAAGGACTTTGTGGAACTGGTGTGGCTTTTACTCCCAGTTTGGAGGCATCAAATTCATGTGTGGAAGTGCGTTCTGAAGGCCACCTAGGCAGCCTCTCCTGCCTGTAGGCTCAGAGCAGTGATGCTCTGCTGGCTCTGGGGAAAGGAGGTGAGACTGCTGCCTGGGCCCTGAACCCTCCATCAGTCCTATGGACGCTGGAGAAAACCAAGACCAGAGCCATTTCAAGAATCAACTTGGACACAGATTTCCTACCTTTGCTCTAATGAAACCACTGGGGAAAAGCTGCGGCCACAAAAGTGTTCAGACTCCCCCCAGGTGCTTGCAGCCCTCTGTTAATACAGAAGTCTGCACTCAGCTGGGCTGCCAGAGGCCGTCCCCAAATAGAAACAACCTAAAACCACAAGCCACAGCCCCTTCTCATAAAACTTCAAATACCTGCATCTTGATATTAACTCAGGCACTGCAATGTTAGAAAGAAAATAAAAACTAGTTCCACAAACCCCACAGATGACATTCGAATCATCAGTGCAGTTGGGTTGCATGGTTTGGAGGGCAGACTGCTTCAATTCAAGTCACCTTGAGCAAGTTGACTGACCTGAGCTGTAGACTTTCTTTTAAAAAGTAGGGCTGGTCATGGCACTGACTCATGAGGATTAAACAAGTTAACCCATGCAGACACCCATTCTAATGCTGGCACAGAGTGAAAAGCTCTGAAATGGTAGCTATTACTATTCCTTGCCTGCAGCCTTCTTATCTTTTATGCTTACAAGAAAGGTTAATGGGCATGAATAAAGTTACAACTTTCATATTTCATGCATATTCCATTATTACTTATTTTACCACCTGGAAAAGCTCAAAATATTCCATTCTGCCCTTGAAATAAGGACAATTTTCTATATGAGATGACAAAGCCAGCTGAAAGGAATCCCTACCACAATAGATTGCACCACAATTTGGGGGAAGATTCAGCAAGTGTTTATAGTAAGTTAGCAGGGTTCCTGGCTGTGTGACACAAATAATGTGAATTCCAAAGGCTGAGTTCAGTGTGGCCATACTTTCTCAGCTGACCTCAGGGGAGACGCTGACAAATGAAAAATTATAGCATACAGCCATTTCCAGAAAGGAAGTAAAATGAGGAAATAACCCAGGGAAGAGGGAATGGTTAGACATGACATGTATGACTGTTAGAACCACACTCAAAAAATATGGGGCAGGTCAGATACTCTCCAGGGATCCTTTCAGTTCTAAATTCCTTCAATTCTAATATCTTATAGATTCAGGAACAAAGGTCAGAGGTAGAGGCAGTGAGGATATTAGAATATTGTAGACTTTAGCTTTTCTGTTTATCATCAGTAGCATCTTACACCTTTGGAGATTGTGCTGGGTTACCTGGAAGAAGTGCGTGTCTTTAAAGACATTTTACAAGTGATTCAGTATCTTGGCTTAAGCTCAAAATTATGTTTCCATGTAACAGAACATGATACAGATATTTTAAAAATACTGTTTACAAAGGACTTGCCAGAACATTTTAATAGAAGCATTTTCCTTCATTAACTGAAGAAAAATGATGCAAACTTAGACAGAGTCTAACCTCAACTACGTAAAGAAAAAAAAAACCAAAAAGCAAATAAGTAATCTAAAATGCTGACAGCAGATGCCTACACATGACAGAAAGAGGGGTGGTTTCTCTTCGCTTTTCTCATCTTTCACTTTGTAACTTTCCACATGAGCACATATTACTTTTACAAGAAGAAGAAGAAGAAAAAACAACAATAATTATTTGAAATTGCACCATATTAAAACTCCATGCGGTTTTCAGAGATTTAAGTCATAGAAGGGCAGGTGAGGAAGAGACGGTGTGTATTTTGTTGGTAAAAATCAGCCACCAGCCCCGAACAGCTCTCATCCAACTAGGCGCACATTACAGTGCCTAGCACCTGTTGAATGCCATCAAGTCTCCATTACTGGGGGGCTGAGGAGTCAGGCTGTGGGGGATCCAAGCCACCTCTCCTCCTCTTCTGGCTCACTGCCTCAGCTGGGTTTTGTTTCCCCGCCACTCATTAGTACCTCCACTGTGCAGCTTAAGAAGCCAAGCTTGTGTCTATCAATGTTCGTCTTCTCTAACAGTTCTGGTGACAAGTCTGGCAAGGGAGAAGCTTGACGTTTTTGAAATAAAAGGGCTTGGGAATTACTTTCCAAATTATCTGCACAATCCCGGGTTTTCAGGACCCTGGGTGATTTGGGGGGCTGCATTCAAGAAGCTGCACTCAGGATATATGAAAGAGTCTTGGGATTTACCAGGCTATCCTAAAGCACCTGGTACGGCCAGGTTAGCTCCAAGTCCTCACTTGAAACCACCCCCTGAGGGAGGGAACCTGCCTGAGGGAAGCTGGAAGGCGGGGGGGGTGGCGGAGAAGCCAGCCCCAAAGTTATGCCACTGAGGTTTCCTTCAAGTCAGGTGATCTGGCTTCTCAAGAACTCTATGAACACTGGCCACCCAGGAACTCTGGTCCTCCCCCTCGCCACCATGGGTCCCTCTCAACCTGCTTCCCCACATCAGAGAATCCTCAGGAAGTGGCTGATCTTGCTGGGCCAGCGGCCACAGAACCAGGACAGCACAAGGGACAAGAATGCAGACCCTGCTCTGCCTGTGTGTGACCCTGGCAAATCTTCCAGCACCTCTAGGCCTGTTTCCTCCTGCGCAAATGGGAATATTGCATCTATGTCACTGGGGGAAGGGCAGGCTAGCATGAAGCCAGTAGAATGAAGCACACATAGGTAGCACTGTATAAATCTCAGCAGACAAACAAAATGTCAACCTGCTCTTATTGCTTGGACCCTGGAAACGAGGCCACAGATGAAGCTTTTTAGCGGACCACCCCATACAGATACTGAGAAAACAAGGCTGAATTCAGCCACCTCTTCCCCAGCAGCTTGAAGCTGCACCTCAGTCCCACCCCTCGGGGCCACATCACTGACATAATGGCCAGCTGCACATGAACTGCTGGGGTGAACAAACAGGACAGGCAAAGCCAGGCCATCCCATGGGGAACTATTTATAGCCAAGTGTTCCTTCACCTCCAATTTACCATGTAACAGTTTGGTTGGCTCGGCTTTGGGGAAACAGTGTTCTTGTCAAAACACTTGTCAAAAATATCCTAAATCTGAAGAGATAATTGGTGAGGGCGCCCAGGAAGGATTGATGGAGACGTCTTCTGCCAGGTTAATAAGTCCAGTGGGCCTGGCCAGGCTGACGGAGCCACAGACACTGCCTCACACCAGGGCCACTTGTAGCAAATGAGTGATGGGTATTTACCTTTCCCCAGGAAATCTAGCTAACACACCAGGGAAGATGATCAATGTATACTTTAAAAGAATGTGTATACAAACAAACTCCCTCCCATATGTTACTGGGTTTCCTCCAAAGAAAACACATTAAATCAAATGCCTACCAGGCACACAGTACGACATCAGGCGGTGGGAATTCCTGGCCCCCTTCTCAAGAAGCTTAAAATCAAGTGGGGAAGGCAAAACAAACACCAGTGAAAAGGTTAGGAGGTACCAAAGTGAGGCATTTGTAACGAGCCAAAAAATTATATAGATAATGAGTGTTTCAGGAGGTAAGAGGAAAAACATCACTTCAGGCTTGCGAGCCCTCCAAGAGGAGGTGGAGTTTGCGCTGAGCCAAAGCAGAGATACATGGAATCCAGGAAAGCAGAGGGAAGAAAAGCAAGCAGGCACACATGCCAGCAAAGGTGTGTGGACAGAGCCCCACAACCGACATGGGCGCAGCAAGCAGTAGGTTGGCTGGTGTGGGGAAGGAGCACACAGAGGAAGAACCAGGCAGCATCAGCAGAGAAAGAGGACTTCAAGGTGTCCAGCACAATTGCATTCTACAAATGGGGAAATGGACAGGCAAAGCTCAGCTCCTCATCATGAGCGTTGATGGCGGTCAAGGTGGTCCTCACTAAATTCTTACAGATGCAATCGATATGTCAACCACTAGATCATTCTAGAACAAGCCCCTAGATGGCCCTGATTTTTATTTTCTCCTCCTCCCCACCAGCTCTCCCCGAAATGAATAGAAATCTCAATTTGACTAGGATGTATCCATACAATGGGAAAAAATAGTCCTGAGGGATAAAAGTCAAGGAGAATCTCAAAGGATTTCAGATCTCTAACCTCTCTGTGGTATGAGTGGGTACAAAGGGCAGAAAACAAACCCCCTCTGTAGGTGGCAAGTGGGCTGGAGGGAAGGCACACCTGTTTTTTGGCCTTTTCAAGGCCTGTAATCTCTCCTCTCTTTGAAGTTGTGAGAAATCAGGTGCTTTTGTGCATTCCCATTGTAAGGAGATAGAGCTGAAAGGTTAAATGTCTTAGAAAGGTGAGTCAGGGATGGGAAGGGGCCAGACCCCATGTACCTCAGCATGGCAGCACTGAGTAAGGAAAGAAAAATAACTTGGGAAACAAGGAGGCTGGTGCTTCATTATATGGCTAGGGGAGTTATGGCATAGAGAGTTCCAGAAATTTCTTTGAGGTCATTTCAGGGAGTCTGAGGAGTGACATGGTCTTGTGTATAACTCAGAAACAGAAAAATAAAAATAAAGGCACAAAAATGGATCACTATTAAAATCAGCACTGAGGAAAGCACAGAAAACCAACCTTAAGTAGCTGGCCGTTTCCAGTCCCCAGGAACAAAACCGTCTTGTTCATGACCATGGTGCCGTAGACAGCTGTCAGGTCGGAGTGGATCACAGTAGATGATGCGATTGGTTTGACTCTTTCAGGCCGTTCCCCTTTTTTCTAAACAAGTACACACATGCACATTTTTTAAAAAAGATACTTTTTAACTTTAATTCTCATAACATGTTACCCATATCCACAACATGTTACCCACATCCACCGGGAATGGCTTCTACTGCCCTAAATCTTATAGAAAATCCCAGAGCAACCTTTGTCCGTTTTATCTGAAAAATCCGCAGCTTGCCCAGCCCATGGAAAGCCATCTGTTTACTATGTATTAACGTGTATTGATTGCCAGCAGTGAGCGAGCCATCCTCTTAACACTCCTCCAGCTGATATATGAGAGTTCTACTTTATTGCCAAGAAAGAGCCCACTGCTGAATTGGGAGGGAGACAATCTTAGAGTTGGCTGTCTGCAAGATCCTGCTGCAATGTATTTTAGCTGGGAATTGGCTTCTGTGAGGTTAAACAAGCCATCTCCCAAGATGTGAGACAGACCATCCTATTGGGTCTGAGGGCAGAGAGGCGGGATTATGCATGTACAAGAAGCCCCAAGACAGGGTAATTCATCCAGAGGGTCGGAGGGGATGATCCAGGTCTGGACAGTAGGCACGACAGAACCACCAAACAGTAAAAAGGCCAGACCTGGTGCTGATGCTCTTGAGAAGGAAATGAAAAGCGTTCACTCCCAACTCAAAGGAACTTATTAAATGGTCTGAGGCTTTGAGTGCCTATAATCACATGCTTGCTCCTGATCATTAAATAAAGCCCCTCTTTCAACCCAGTGCAGAGAGTGTCCACCAAAATGTCTTTTTCTTTCTTGTCTAAAGGCATGAAGTGCTTCATGCAGCTTCCTGCCTTTAACGACAGGAAGCTGAGTTTGTTACACAAATCTCTGGCAGATAGGGAGCAGAAAGAGCCGTTGCCGTCTGCAGCTACTGAACACAGTGTGATAACATACTTCATCTGCCAGAGCCCAGCTCCCAACTGTACGAAGGTTTTCAAAGGCACGTTTAAGTTTTAGCCAATGAGAGAGTGGGTAAACTTCAGACAGCATCAATGCAACTCCTAAAATCCACCCTGTTTGGGGAGGGAGGAGGGTAGCGAGGGGGAGGCTAAGACTTATTAACTTCATTATATCATTGCCAACAGTGTTTATGTCTTTCAATTTCTGTCTTATTAAATATTCATTATTTTTAAACCCACCAAGTTTCATTAACATCTAAACTAAATGGACTCGTGGGCTAAATTGATTTCTGAAGGCTTTAAAGGGCTGTCTATATTTCTTTATTGAAATTACACAGCAAGAAAAAGATTAGTTAGCAAGGATTTCTCTCACGCCATGTTCACTTTTCAAGAAAAGATGTCATAACCTAAGAGAAAGTGACTTATTTGCATAAGATATTTCAGAGTGAAATATCAGCTGAAGAAGATTTCTTCAAGCCTGTTACAATTCTTTTTTTTTTTTTTTTCCTGTTAGAAGAAACTTTCTGAAGTTAGGGAGATGAGAAACTCTCCTGTTAAAATTGAAAAAAAAAATCTGTGGGTCTGAGAATCAGAGCAATAGATCACTGTTTAGATAAGGACACCTTATGACTATGAGCAGAAAAAGAAAAACCAACTGACCTTTATATTAAAAAAAAAAGCAAACCAAACCACACCACATGTCTTCCCTTAAAATAAAACCACAATTGTTCAAACTTAAGATCAGCCAACCAGTTCTATTACTTTTATTAAATCTAAGCATCTCAGAGAGGTTAAGTCAGAGAGCTGAATGTCATCTGTGTCCGGACATGGAATGTTCTGGTACATGGAATGTACTGCTATCTTTTACTGGAAGATTCCATTCTCTCTCATCCCAGGGTACAAAGTAATTCCATGGACTGTTGATGATCCATCAACAAGGACCAAATACTCCCGTGTTTGGTATAAAGTAAGTGCTTAACAAGGATATCTACTCTGATCGGCTGGGAATCATGACATCACAGATAGCCTATGCTGAGGTGGGAAAGAAATTCTGTTTGCAAGATATTGGTCCCCAAATAATAGATGGCTCAGAAGCTGAAAGGGAACAAAGACTACTTCCAAATTATGCCTCACCCTTTTCAGTGTCCTTCCCAGCCTTCCGACAACATCAATATTGTAATCGTCTCAATGAAGTCCTAGATCAACAGCCACTGAGTCAACGTTACCAACGTGACCTGGTGGCATAGAACAAACTGCCTGAGACTAGGGGACAGAGAGCTTCAACGTTGCATTCGAGCTTGGTTCTCACCAATACGGGGAACAGACCATTTATTCACCTGTTGCGGATCTAGCTTTCTCAGCTGTGCATGAGGTTAGTGATGTCTGATTGGTAGGATGGTTATGGAAAGAGATAATACGTTGCTAAGAGCTGATATTGTTAAGGGGAAGGATGTCCTAAAGGAACCCTGCAGAGTCTTGTGGACTCCACCCTCTACTCCAGTGACTGGAAACTACAACTCCCAACAGTACCAGGGAGAGAATTGCGAGGTCCCAAGGGAGAAGCTAAACAGGAATTCTGGGCCATTGGGGATTAAATAGGGCACCATTTCATCTCTTGCTCTCTCGTTTGGGAAACGGCTCTCTGGACCACACACCTCTGTGTTTTTAGTTAGCTGAACTGGTAAAGTACTCCAGTTACTTTATATCCTGCTCTCTTTCCCTGGGTTGTTTCCTGTCCCTTTCCCCTTTTTGTAAATAAACCCATTTTGACCCTTTTGTGTGTACCTGCAGTATAATTGAATTTTAAGCCCAAGGGTGAGGCCACAGACAGAAGGCCCAGTTCACTCTGGGCTGCCCTTAACAATATTACCATCATCAGTAACATACCTACTGTGTGACATTTGGTGTATTTTGTATGACCTTTGGGTAGTATAGAGCCGGACCTTCTGGTTTTGAATCCTTGCTTCATCACTTTCCAGCTAAGTAAGTTTGTTCATGTGGATTAACCTCTCTGTCACTCAGTTCCCTCTCCACACAGTAGAAGTGATGATAGCAGCATTGGTGCCATGGACTGACTTAGTACACAAGCCTCAGTGAAGCACAGTAAAGCACAAGCCCCATGGCACAGTGCCTGACACATAGTAACATGTAACCCATACTTGCTATCATTACCTTAGTTAAAAACACAAACAGTGGCTGACACTCCCAAGGCAGTTATTCCTACCTCCTTTACCACAAGATCCCTAATTTTGCTCAAGTAGCAATAAGCCCAAGCCATATGGTAATACCGCTCTCCACTGCCAGACACTTGCTTTTCTACTCCTTAAAGGCAAGAGTGGTCATGTGATACAGATCTGGCCAATGACATGCAAGAAGTCCATAGCTGTGGGAAGCTACTATATGCACAGTGGTGGCAGCCATTTTCCTTGCGTGAGAGTCAAGATGGGACACGAAGTCAACAGGCTGTGATGGGTGCAAGGGAATGATGAGACATCCTAGGTTTTTGAGGACATCAGTGAACACCGACATCAACCTTTAAGGGTTCAAATCAACAACAGGTCTTCTCTCTGTTGTTTCAGTTTTCTGTTTCTCATATCCAAAAACAAGTCAGTGTGTCAGGACGTGGCAGACTCTGGCTGTTCCTTAGCTCTGAGGAACAGAACTGATGAGGGCCTGTTCCTCTCACTCTGGAGGACCCTAGCCAGAGTCAGGATTTTGTAGCCAATTATGGTCGTGAGCCTGGAAGAAAATAAGAAAGAGTGGATTGGGCTCACAAACTCCAAGGGCTTCTCTAACTGAATGGAATGGATTCTTTTGTGCTAGAAACACACATAAATGGACAGGTCCCTGTGAATGGAAAAAAAGAGCCCTCTGAATGGCTTTCTTCAGCTCATTTCAGTAAATGAAAACAAAAGAAAGGCTCCAGAAAAAGCACCTCACAAAAGTGAAGTTAATACCTAGGGAGCCGAGCAGGAAAGGTGGGGGGGAACTAGTGCTGTTGCCCCCCTGGGTCCAGAAATTATTCTCACTCTTTTTTGGGGTCTATTTTCTGTCTTGCCCTTCTCTCCCCTTAGGGCATAATCGCTAACGTTGCTCTCAGCCTATTCTGTCTACTTTATTATGTGTAATTTATTTCTAAATCCCAGCCTCTGCTTGTTCGTCTGTGTGTAACAAGGTTAATGCCTTGTAATGATGCTTTTGCCAGTTCTGCCTTTCATGACAAAATCCAATCTTGATTTAGCGCTAAACCTTGTCTCCCCTTTGGGCTTTCTTGGTTCCCCCTCAGAGTTGTCATCCTGTTTCTCCTGCCTGCCATGTCTAACCGTAACGTCACGCCTACACTTCAGCCCGCTCTCGGAGGGAAACTTTTTTCAGTTTGAGGAAAAAGCTAACTTGTCTCAAAAGATGTTTGGGCTCAAAGGGAGAGAGCCTTGGGCCTGACATACCACAGTGGAAGCAAGTCTTCTCTGCAGGCTTGTGTGCGCCTGTGTGTGTGAGAGTATGCCTAGGACGACAGTCCTGAGCATCAGGAGGGAAACAGCTTAACCTCAGAGTAGGTCCTTCATACTATCTTTCACTGACAACAATATCCGCTGCACAACTTCAGGGGTGCCAGTCATATATTCTAGGGTGTGACTAACACCCTGTGGAGCTCAGTAACTCTCTACAGCCTCTCTGTGTAAAGGATGGGCCCACCCATCGAGGTCCCTGGTGTTCTCAGCCATGATACAGCTGTGATGGCAACAGCTGGGTGTAGTGTGCAAAAATAGGACCACAAGTATGGGGCCCTGCAGGAGTCCCATTTTTTTTTTAAAGATTTATTTGTTCATACAGAACTGGGGTACAGGCCAGAGGCTCAGGGGCGGCGAGAGGCTTCACCAAAGACAGAGTGGGGAGCAGAACAGGCAGATCGACAAAGTACACTGCTAAGGGGAGCAGCGGGCGGGTCAGGAGAGGTCTGCCTCGCCATGTGGTCACCTCCAGGGCAGGCGGGGATTGAACTCATGCGGAAGTGGCTTTAGCTTCTCAGTGCTGTGCTTTAACCTGCTGCTCCACCAGGGAGGGTCAGGAGTCCCATTTTTTTTATCCTCGAT